GGAGGATGAGTAAGTCATTAGTAATAAAACTCATCTCAATAGCCACAAGAAGACAAACGTGGTCACCACACACTTGCACACCCCAACTCTAAGGTGGCTTCACAGGAAGTCTACTGACCCCTTACATTCCCCGAGAGTGTAAAGAGATCAGAAATAGATGATTAAACAAATCCACTTTCATGACTAGATATGAGGAAGAAAAACAGGAGAGTTTGTAAGTGTTCAGAGGAACATCAACTTGTGGTTCTTTCCCACACTGATCCCCTCCATTTTTGTTTGTTTTTTGCTTCCTGTTCTAATAAATTTTGTCTCCAAACAAATCTGAAGCCCAAATGTGTACACCTCTTTCTTCCCTTTTCACTGAAGGCAGAAGAGTCCAGAAGGGCCACAGAGAACTCATCTGTTCAGCTCAAGTCTCCACAGGAATTCAACCCCCAGAAAGAGATAAGCTTGGAGTCTATCTGGTTTAATTATTTGAGAACCAATTCCCACGTCCAGGAAGAGAAACATAGGATTTTAGAGAGTCGTGTTGTTGTATTTGACCGAATGTAGAAAGTTATCACAAGACAAAAGTATGCCAGATTGTAGGGTCATTTATTATGCCGGCGACCACAGAGGACTCACGTCTCTCCAACCTGTGGTGGCAACAGGAGGGTGCCACGATTTTTTATACCCGAAAAAAACCACCTTGGGAGTGGAGGTGAGGGGCGGGGATGGGGATGAAAAGGCTTCAGACATTCCGAGGGCTAGTGGATTCTGTAAATTACCTCCTGGGCAGAGATGAGGGTGGGGGTCTCCGGACATTCCAAGGGCCCGGGGACTTTTGTCATTCCGTTTGTTACTTAAGTGGTTTACAGAAGTCAAGATATATATTTGTTTACACATTATCTGGTTAAGGTGGAAATCACAGACCTTAGTTACTTATTACAAGCCACAGGAGCCAGGATGGAACTAGCTTGGGCTGCTTAGTCTGGCAATTGCCGGTAAGCAAAGGCTAGCAATTCTGGCAGTTACTGATAAGAAAAGGTAAGCAGCTTTACATAGTTTTGAGGAACAAACTGGCAGTTCTATTCACAGAGGCCAAGGACAGTAGTTATTGTAAGGAGAATGGGGCAGCCATTTCAACTTATCTAAAAACAGTTTTGCATTTTATAAAATAGTTTTGCTCTGGTTCTGGCTCTAGGCCAGCACAATATCACAGTGTCAGGAAAGGGAGTTCCTTGGTCTCCTGAGGAGTGTGGCCTCTTTCCCTAATGGACCCCTCTCCTCTGCTGCCATTTTCTCCCTTGGTTCCCCCCGTCTCCTCTCCTGATTTCCTCCAATCTCTGTAGCCCCAGAGGTGAAAGCCAGATGGAACATGCATATGAGTATATATGTGTTCACGTGTGCTATATGTGTTAAGCCTGCATGCATGGGCTTGGGGGTGTGTGCCCTCCATATATATACCTACATGGGTGCAAGGGATTTCAAGGGTGTATATGCATGTACTTGTGTGTGTGTGTCTCCACTTGAGGGAAGACTCTCCAATCAGGGAAGGAATGCCCCTGCTTCCTCCAGGGGAATCCCAGATCCTCACTCTCCATCTACAGAGACACAAAAATATAAAAACAAACACCTTACTCTTTTTTTTAAAAGATTATGAAAATAAATAAAGGAAAAGTATTTTTTAAATTAAGATTCACACTCTCCGTCAAGACCCAGCCATGTTCGAGGAGGGCAGAAAGACCATCCCTACAGGGCTAGGTCTTCCTGTCCTCCGGGAGAGGCTTAGGAATCAAGCCTCCCTGTCCCTGCAGCAGACACATGACTGAAATGTGCTGAAGTTCCCCTCAGAAGAAAGTTAAACAGGGGTGCTGTGGAGGCGGAGTAAGTGCCCCAGATACCTGGGCCACTAGCTTTGCCACCCAAAAAAGCTCTGCCTTTGATTCTTTTTTATTGCATTTTAGGTTTTGGGGTACATGTGAAGAACATGCAAGATTGTTGCATAGGTACACACATGGCAGTGTGATTTGCTGCCTTCCTCCCCTTCACCTATATCTGGCATTTCTCCCCATGCTATCTCTCCCCACCTCCGCACCCCCATCCCTCCCCCATTTCCCCCCAACAGACCCCAGTGTGTGCCTTTGATTCTGAATCTGATTCTTGAGGTGAGAGAAGGGCTCTCAAACCAAAATGTCCCCAGGGCATGGAGAGTCTCGCAGAAAGGGAGTGCTCAGATGAGTCAGTTCCCCACTCTGAACAATCAGTGGCCTCTTGTTGATTCAAAGCCAGCTCAATCCTCAGTTGGGACTTGGTGGTAAGTGATAGCTGCTAGATGGCACTAACCATCAGGCATTTAATGAGGGGAAATTTCTATGAAAATAAAAACAAAGGCGAATAGTTGGAAACCCAGTTTCTGAGTCCACAGGTCAGTCAGTGGAGAGGGTTTCCAGCTGTTGAGCTCAGGGATGGAACAAATGCCTTTAAACAATTGCCCCCAGGCATAGGTGTAGAGAGCAGGACTTAATTCCCACACTCACATCACTCTGGGCCTGATAAAACTTGCACGCCTCACATAGCTCAGACTGTTCTGAGCTATTTTTCTTACTCACCTTCTTTTACAATCTAGAACATTTAATGGATTTTCCTACGTATCAGCCAGTTCAGGAACATTTCAAGTAAAGAAGCTTTAGATCCATATATAACTATCATTACAGTTAGCCTTCTCTGTTCCACTGCAGTGATCTAAGCC